GTTTGATATCCGAGAGGTAGCACTCTCGAGCCATCTTCTGATCTCCCCTTAGAGAGCCGACTGTTCCATCATCCTTCTCAAATTTAAGCAGCGTAAGAGAGGGGATAATGACAGCTTTAGAGTTGTTCAGGGTGGGTCGTCCCGAGATCATGTTATAGGCCGAGAGTTCCTCAACCGCTAAGAATCAAACGACCATGTGACGTCCCTCCCCTTTCTCACCCAGGCGGATGGGTAGATCCACTCGCCCTATTGGGTGTACGACTCCTCCTCCAAACCCTACTAAAGGGTGGAGTACCGGATGTATGCAATATGTCTTGTACTTGAGCTTTGCCAAGCACTTGCTACTGATGAGATCAGAGGAGCTACCGGTATCTATGAGGATTCGGCCAACTCTTTGGTTGGCCACCTTGCACTCAATAACAATGGGGTCATCATGCGGCCCCTTAACTCCTCCCAGATCTTCTTCTGTGATGACAATCTCTGGGAACGAACTTTTGGCGGTCCGTTCTTGGTTAACGGAATTAACATCTAGCCGCCTGATATTGTCCTTATTGCCCCTAATAGTGGGGCCGCCTCCTGAGAAGCCGCCTGCTATGGTGTAGACGATTGCGTCATCAGTATCAGAACTGTCGGGCGACTGATGATTCTTTTTGGCCGACTGCTTGTTCTTTGAGGAAGTGTTCCCCTTGGACTTCTTGACATAGGAGTCAAGGTCGCCTTGTTCAGCCAGGCGGTCCAGGTAGCGCATGAGGCTGATACATTCGTTGGTTTCATGACCAACGTCTTCATGATAATGACAGAATTTGTCCTGGTTCCGATTGCTTGCAGAACCCTTCATGGGGGCCGGCTTCTCGATTGAGATCCGGCTCTTGATTTCTTTGACGATAGCTTGGCTATCCTTGTTGAAGGCATACTTCGGATAGTATGGTTTGAACTCTTTCTTCTTTTTCTGGGCCGGCTGTTTAGAGGAGTCGGCCGCCCAGGCTTCTTTCCTCTTTTTCTCATCTTTATTGGCCGACTGCTTTGGTCGGCTTTCTTTTTTGTCGGACCTTCGTCCATCCGACTTCTTTCCAGTGTTACAGAGATCAGTCGCCTGTATATAGGCTTCTGCTTCAATCAAAGCTTCTTGGAGAGTCGCAACCCTCTTTCGAACCAAGTCAAACTTGAAGGTCGACCCATCCTTGAGACCTTTGAAAAAATCAATGTAGGCTACCTCATCCGGCAACCCTTGAATCTGTATCCTCATCAGGTTGAACCGCCTTATATAGGAACAGAGTCCCTCCTTCTCACCCTGCTGAATGGTCCTTAAATCAAGGGTCGTCTTCTTTGCAGGGATGTTCATAGCAAAGTTGGAGGTGAACATGTAGGCAAGCGTCCTGAAATTATTCACACAACCAGTCGGCAGGTTACCGAACCATTGTTGAGCGATTCCTTTTAGGGTCGCTGGGAAACACTTGCACCAAGTGGGATCATCCAACCCTTGAAGGTACATTAAGTTGGTGAACGCCATCAAATGGTCTTCAGGGTTAGTGGTGCCATCATAGGCGCCTACTAGCACATTCTTAACTTTGGCCGGCTGGGCAGCCTCGGTAATTTCCTTGGAGAAGGCAGACGGCTGTTCTCCGAGTCTTAGCAACCGTAGTTGCCAGTCCAAAGGTTGGACATTTTTTGCCGCCTGTCCTCCAAACAGAGGTGGCTGCAAGAAATGTTGTTGTTGCGGTACGTATGGCATGTTTGGTATCGCCTGCTCCCTATGAAATCCAGACCGACGAGAGGTACCGCCTGTCTGACTCTCATAGTTTGATTGAGTATACCTCATAGAGGTATTGTGCAGACTATCTTGTAAGTCAGAAGTGGAGGCCGACTCTGACAGTCGGTCATTCTTCTTCTGCTCTAGCAATAGCCGAGCATCTGAGTAGGTTTTCTTTTACCCATCCGCTTGTATATGACGAATGGGCTTCCTCTTCCCTGGTGAGGGAAAACGATATTTTGTTAAGTCGATCACAGGCGGCTCCCACTTCCTAGAGTTAGGGTGGGGGGTCGCCTCTCGACCCTGAACAGGCTTCCTTCTTCCCGAATGAGAAGGTTTTCTGGCCGACTGCTCCTTAGAGAGAGCAGGCGTCTTTTTATTGATTAATTCTTGGATCTCTCCTTTGAACCCCCTCATGAAAGTCATAAGTTAGTTTCTTGTAATAAGAGCGGATCCTTCAGCCGCCTGTTGCGGATCAGGCGGTGAGCCGGCTGGATTGCTGGGTCCAGCTTGATAATCTACCCGTTCTTTCCTTCCGGTGTGACGGGTGCGTCGGGCCCTTAGGGTCCCGTCTGAGGCCGTGTGTGTTTCAACCTCAACCTCATTCTTAGTATCGTGGTCTAAGTAGACTTGAGGGTCGTCCTCTGGACGCCTCTCTTCTGGATTCGGTACAGACTTAGTTGCCATCTCGAAAGTACTCTCCCCACAGACGGCGCCAAAATGTTTCGGGGTTTTTTGATGTCCTGCGGGAGAGTTACAACTCCGAGACTGGAACCGTGCGCCTGTACCTGCAAAACAACGGAGACTCCGGGCGGTAGGAGCTCCGCCTCCGACGGTCAAGTTAGTACTTGTTTAAGGAGTAATTAATGCGGAAAAAAGGTAGAGTGTTTTCTCTTGGTGAGAGTAATTAATTGACGTAATTTCCTTTTATGAGGATTAATGATCATATTTATATGCCTTGGGATGCGTGCTAAATACTAGGTTTAGGTTAACCTAGGGCTGACTGGGCTTCTTCCAAGGATTGGGCCTAGGTGGCCGTTTTTGCCTTGTTGGCATAGGGGAGGACACGTGTCGTGTCGTAACTGGTCCATGGTGGACAGATCAATGCCTGACATGTGGCAGGCTCCTATTGACCCATGTGGCAAACACATGGCAGAACCTGATTGGTCCACTTGTCAGATGGTGATTGGTAGGGAAAAATCCCCTAATCAGGGTGTATTGTGGAAAGATATGGAAATTTCCAGGAATGGGAAGACAGAAAGGATGACTCATGCATGAACCAAAGACATGGTCATGATGTGAAGAAAGTATGTACAAAGTGTGTGTAAAGATTCGTGAGTGTAAGTGAGATTTACAAGACTCGTGTCATGACCATGTGACTAGACATACGGTTTGACTCAAACAAGACTAGAAAAAGACCAAGTATGTACATTAACTGATTAATCGTGATAGTGAGACTCGATGCGAAGACTCGAAAAAAGAAAACTGAACCAATACGTGGCATTGGAACTATTGCATGGCGTTCGTTCCATCGCGACGCATCAAGCCTGACGTGTCGTGATGGTTCCAAACGTCACACGCCACAAGTTAAATGGGGTGCGCCAAAGCTTGAGCATCACGATGACTTGTTTTCAGTTGTTCTTTTGAGGGTTTAAGCCTAAAAGTCTTCTAGGTTCAAGCATATTCATTTGTTAGGTTCATATTAATTAAGCAAGGTCCTTTGGGTTGGTATATACGAATCATATGTATAAGAATCAAGTCAACACAAAAAGGTTGGTTCAATCACAATCAAAGGGTTAGTTTAATCACAAACAAGGTATGCACAAGTAAGATATGCACAAGTAGTCACAACATGATGCAATGAGTTTGCAACCTAACCATGGCTCTAGTTCTCTAAGGTCAAGGATTATGGTTTCCAAGAGGTTCCATGGTTAAGAGTTCGAATGCATCACGCGGAAGCCTTACCTTAAAAGGGTTGGCACGATGGACGGGACCCCGCGAGTTAAACTCAACTCCATAGTTTGGTGAATTCAACAAACTCTGATGGACCCATTATTGCACGGAGCGTTTATTAGGGTGGACAAAGCGTGAATTCCCAAGGGCTAATATTATATGTAAAATATATATGGGTTCAGAAAAGTCGGAAAAACTTAATCAGGAAGTAAAATCGTCGGGACAGTACTAGAATCAGGCGAAACACGAAGACAGAAAGCTAGCGCAGAATCGCTAGATCGTATCGCTGGACGATATGAATGTAACACCCTAGAAATTCCTTCCCTTTAAAATACCTATTTTGCCCTTTTAAAATACGAAATAGAAAATTCTAAGACATTACCGCCATCGTGAAAACGGCTAAGGCAATTCTCAAAGACACACAGCGGAAGACTCTCTTTAAATCCATTCAAAACAAGTCAACTTAAAAAGTCAAATCAAACGAAAGTAAAGTCAAATCAAAGTAAAACAAAGTCAACCTAAGCTTGGAACCAACATAGGCCCTGATATAGATCTGACTTGAACTTTACCCAAAATCAAGAATAACCTTACTTAAACATCTAATCTTATAAGCATCTAACCCAAACTTAACCAAAACCCGAATTTACCAGCTATAAACCAGCTCTACACACAACTTGATACAACTCGAACCTAAAAGTTAATTCAACCTAAATTTGACTTAAATCGAATCTGGACAGCAGGCTGCAGCCAAACGACTTAGCATTACTCAAACTGAACTTAACAAAACTCAAACCTGAACCTAATATGGATGTTAGATTGACCCTATGTGAATTGAACCAAGTTTGACTCAAAACATTATTTAACCCCACCTGAAGCAGACTTGATTGCTCGAATTGATACCGATACAGGTACTCGGTCATTTGCTTAACTGTAGTAGTAAACTTGGTTATTAACTTATTACCTTAAACTTCAGCAAAATTGCAAACACCATAAAACGATTTAATTGTACTTTTCCTTTTGATTCAACCAACTCATTCATGAACCCGCTGACGTGTGTCGACCAGAATTTTCTTGTTTGATTATTTTTTATTTTTTTAATCAAACCGGTAAATTCTTGCCTCTTCTCCTTCTTCTTCAGAAATTTCAGTCTATTTTTCCAGAATTTCTGTATTTTTTTTCTGATAGATAGTAAATTTCTTGCATGGAAATTGGATTACTTTCCAAACCTTTCATGAGGTTAGTCTTTTTCTTCCATCTTTGCGCTTTTACGTGAAGTGTGCAATTTACCCTTGAATCTATGAAATTATAAACATCACATCACTATTAAAAAGTTAATTATTTAATTCCATATTTCTAATCAAGGCAATTATAGGTGTAAAAGCTTTGATCATGTTTAATTATTGGCATTTTGTACATTCGGATAATTAAAACCGAATATTCCTCCATTTTTTTCCTGGGTTTCCTTTATTGTGTCTACTTTTTCTTTATTGCATTGTGGGTATGTCAAATTTTCAATGTTAATCTTTGATATTTGAATTTTTGAATTGTTTGGAGAGTAATCTGAATTGGGTTTTTGATGAATTTTTTTGGGTTTCTTTTAATTGAGCTGAAACTCTGAAAATGATGAGAAATCTGTCAGAATTTCATTGATTGTTTTGATTTGTCCGAAAGATGGTTTGAATAGGGTATTTTGATTTTGTTGAGCTGAAATTTTCCTTTAAATAGAAAAATCACAAGTATTTTGTTACTGGGAGAAGTTGGTGATTGTTTGGTTCGTTGAAATTTAGTTGGGTTTCTAATTTTAGTTTGAATTTGGGGTAGTTGTATACCTATTTCAGATTTATATGATCGTCATTTGGTTGTCTACATTACGAGTGATTGTAATCGAGGTGGGGCGGAATTTGAATTTCATTTGTGAAAATGTTTGCTGTGGGGAGATTAGGAAGTTACATTAGCCGAGGTGTATGCACCGTCTCTGGCCCCTTTCATCCCTTTGGTGGAGCAGTAGATGTAATTGTGGTGGAGCAGCAAGATGGTAGCTTTAAATCAACCCCGTGGTATGTTCGATTTGGGAAGTTTCAAGGTGTTTTGAAAGCAACGGAGAGAGTAGTCAGTATTAATGTCAATGGAGTCGATGCTGATTTCCACATGTATTTGGATCATAAAGGGGAAGCATTTTTTGTTAAAGAGGTTGATGGAGCAGAAGCGGAATCAGAGTCGTATTATTCCTCTCCAGATGAGAAAGAAGTGAACTCTGATAGTTGGATAACACAAAAATCTATGAGCTGCAACTATGATGCTAACCGGACAGAGATGATTTCTGAACTTGAAGGAAGTAATGGAAAGATTACAGCTCGGACCAATAGTAGTCGACGGGGAAGGATTTTTCGCCTTCCTTTTGGTAGACGGTTGATGAAGGAGAATGGTTTCCGGGATGGAAATTCTAGTGCCGAAGTGGACAGTGTTAGTTCTTTGGAGCGTGCTGAGATTGCTGCGGACTTATTGGAAGTACGGTGGACAACTAATCTTCGTCCTGGCAAAAACCAAACTACCAGTGTTTCTAATGCAACTAAAAAGCCTTCTTCTGTATCTTCTGAAGGTAATGTTACTTCAGGTATGTCTGACTGCCTACAGCCAACATCAAGTATTGAGAAAACTGATACTCAACTTTCATGTTTGATAAACCCTGAAAATTCTGTGGAGCTTACCATTGAAGAATCTTACATTGCAGCTGATCTTACTTCTGTAGGATCAAATATATCTGATGGAGTTCATGATGGCTGTAGTAAAAACAACCAAATTTCTGTGAGTGAGTTCTCTGAGGTTTCTAAGTCTAGTCCGAAACTTGCACAGACAGTGGCAAGTGAAATAGTTGAAGGAAATGTTTCCCCTGAATGGTCTTTTAATAACATAAATGTCAAGCAGGAAAATATTGGCAAATGCAATGGAGATGAGGATACATTATGGAATGCTTCTACTTCTCATGTTACAGATGTGGTTGGTACATCTCATCAATGTAGCATAGGTGAGGTTCCTTTGGAGTACTCCAGCTCAGGAGACCCTTGTAAAAGTGCAACTGGCTCAATGAATGAGCTGAGCTCAGAGGATCTTTATGCTGGTACCAGTGGTTTAAACTCGCTTCCTATAGTTTCAGAGAAGGAAGGTTCTGTTACTAATGTGACACAATGTGCTCTTTCTTCAAGTCCTAAAGATCCTACTCGAGACAGAATTAATGAAGTAACACCTTCAGATGATAAAGAGGAGCAATTCCTTTTCAGTGATCTTGATGACTGTAAGGTGGAGAAAGTGGAACATATTCAGACCTCATCATCAGGGAGTTCACTAGAAAGCAGTGAAGGAGGACTGCCAAAAAGAACTTTCACAGATGAGTCACATCATCTGACATGCAATCCTGCTCAAGATAATCTTCTTATCAATGATGCAAGCCTTAAAATGAATTCAAATAGAATGTCGTGCCCTATAAGCATTTCAAAAGTTCATGATGATGATGCTGAAGAGAAGGCCTTGGCACCAGCAGCAGAATCTTTACCTATTATGGTGTTTGATGGTGATGATCCATCACGTGATGCTCGTCAGACAATTAGTCGTTCCTTGGATTCAACTCTTGAAGCTTTTAAGATGGTCAATAATGATGTTTCAGCTGCTTCAGGCTTGAGTGGAGGTCCGCAGCAAGTAGCACAATCACGCTTAGAGGAAATCAAAAACATTATTTCTGATCCTGCAGTAGGTAAAGACAATTGATAATTTCATTGCAATAAAAACAAATATACTTATAAAAGTGGACATACTATATTCATAAGCGCTTTAGCTGACATGTGGCTCTCTGATCAGCACCACTTTGGGTATCTTTTGTGTCATCCTTAATAATTTTATACATCAAATCATTCTCTGAACCCGATTCTTATATGATATAGAGTAAAAACAATATATTTTATAGCTATTATGAATATATTTGTATGATTTACACAGGTTTTGAAAATTTAATGAATCACTTTATAATGTTAATTTATGCAGAGGTATCCCTCTGCAGACACTTGTTATTTGATGGAATGGGCTACGAAGCTGCTGCTCAAGCATTCGATGCTGAAAAATTGGATATTGACAATTTTCTATCTCTCGGTCTTGATATTTTGAAAAACGATAAGCTTGTTGTCAGAATTGGTGGTCTTTATTTTCCATGGGATGCAGCTTTGCCTATTGCTTCAGCAATAGGTTCACAGGAAAAGGTACCAATGCTGGAACCGAAAGGCATGATAGCTGTTGGTCAAGTTGAAAATCAAAGCTCTGAAGGAGTCACACAGAAGTCTATAAATTCCGGAAATGGCTCTTGGAGATTATGGCCATTCTCATTCAAGAAATCAAATAGCATGCAAAACAGAAATTCTAGCTTTGAAACTCCTGCCGAGGACCTCAAAGATATTGCTGGAAATTCAGATGCAGTTGTTCCCAGAGCAATGAAAAAGAAGATACGGGCAAAGTTTCCCACTTCTGAACAGCTTGCATCCCTAAATCTAAAGGAAGGGAAGAATGTTGTGACTTTCACATTCTCAACAGCAATGCTTGGAGAGCAGAAGGTTACCTTAATTGATAATTTTATTTTCTTGTTGCTGCTTTATCTTCCTTCACCATCATTGTTGGGTTTGTTTCTCAACTGAATTTATTTTTTGAATTGAACAGGTCGAGGCAAGAATATTTTTGTGGAAATGGAATGCACGGATTGTGGTCTCAGATGTTGATGGGACTATTACTAAGTAAGAATTAATTTAAATTGAATGCTAATACTTAGCTAATCCCTTTTTTCTGTTATAATTCATGTACAATTATTGGTTCATTCAAAAGTATCATGAATGCATGTCCTTTCAGTCTTCCTTCTGAATGCAGCCATCAATACATGTGAATAGCTAATTGATTTTTAGAATTGGTTTGGTATACTTTAGCTGCTTGTTCTTAATCTGTGGACTATGTGAGTCTTGTTGCTGCCCTTTAAATCAGGTTCAATTTATTTTCTTCAAAATTGGTTTGGTAGACTTTAGTTTGCTTGTTCTTTATCTATGGATTTTGAGAGTCTTATTGTTGTCTATTAAATCAGGTTTCAACTAGTTTCATGTGCTGTAATATTTAAATCCTTAGTGTTTTTGTTTGGCATTACATTTCTATTTATGCTCTTAGTTATTTATGTAATTTTCTAGACAAATTGGATGCATACATGATACACTTGGCCCTGAGACCTAGACTCTACTTCAATGGTATACAATTTTCTTTTTTAAAAAAATCTGTATTGGTTTATTATTTGACGGATTATCCTTGCTGTAAAACGTGTTACTATACATTTGGTTGAATACCAATTTTTCCCATTTCAAAATATGAGGCATGTGAACTAGTACAAAGAATTTAGTCAACTTTTGCCAACTTGTGATATACATTGGCAATGTATACTACATATAATGTAGTATCAATGTATTAATTAACCTACAGCTCTACATTGATATTAAAAGGTGTAATTAATGACTGTTATTTGTTACAAATAAATGTGGCCAAAATGTCTTCTATTTAGTAAAGAAATAAGGTACATTTAACATTAATGATCCCTGCAATGTGCCTGACACTTATTAATAGTTATCACCATGCACACCCCTCACTCCCCTCTTCTAAAGGGTTTGATGTGTATATCTTTTGTTTTCTTGAGCTTTGTATAAGGAACTTACAATATCTTTTGACATCCACTGTCATTATCATTTGTAACTCTTACAATTGGACATTTACCATACAGATCAGATGTTCTTGGGCAGTTCATGCCAATGATGGGAATAGATTGGTCTCAGACTGGTGTCACACATCTTTTCTCTGCTATTAAGGTTTGTCACACAACACTTTGTGATAATTGTATTCAGCTATTGTTTTAAAGTTCATTTATGGAAAATCATCAATATTTTTCACATATAGTAGGGCAACATTTTTGCTAAAATATCATTAAATTATCCTCTACTCTTTTTTGTGGAAGAAATTTCTTGGTTAATGCTTTTAAACCAAGGATCAGGGGGTTTGTAAATGGTAGCTCTTTCCATTTGTAGTAGTGAGATTGCTTTATATTCAACTTACTACATCCTTTCATAGATAGGAGAGTCATTGAGCATTGGGTCATCACAATGTTATTTAATGGTAATTACTGCATATACCAGAAAAACATGGTTATTTTACCACACCCTAGTTGTTATAATAGCAATTGCTTCTCGGTGATGGAACGATATTACACAACTACGCATGTATTGTGTCCGTATGCTAGATGGTTTATATAGGTTAAACATTTTATCCTCCCCTCTCAATGCTAGATTTGGTGATTCATGATTTTAGATTACTTAAATAATGTGCTCTTGTTTCAGGAAAATGGTTATCAACTTCTTTTCCTTAGTGCTCGCTCCATTTCACAAGCCTATCACACTCGGCAGTTCTTATTCAACCTTAAACAGGTGATTGCTGAACCAGGGTATTGATTTATTTTCTCGATTATTTTTTCCCTTCTCAATGAGAAACTTGCTTTGAATCTTGGTAGGATGGGAAAGCACTACCAGAGGGTCCTGTCTTAATATCTCCAGATGGACTTTTTCCTTCTTTGTATCGAGAAGGTTAGCTTCCCATGTTGACTTGGGTTATACACTGTATGTGCTATAAATAGTCCAGTGTAGTTGACTGCCTAACTTAATAAACTTATGTTGAGTAGATTATTACGGAGTTTAAAAAAATGGTTATGATAGTAACATAAGTAATTGTAACATATTTCATATATATTTCGGCTTCTGCTGTTCTTTTTTTAGGTTTCTCCCTAGCTATGTGTGCCTATGGTGCTTTTTCTTGTGTTGTCAGTTATCAGTGTTGTGTTGTAAAGAAAGCAGAAAGATAAAATTGCTGATGGTTGCTGTAAACCTATTACTAAAAGAAGAAAAGTGATATTATGCATCTACTAGGAGGGTGACCATTTTGAAATTGAATTAATGGTGAATAATGCTACCATAACAATAGGCCATTCTTTCAATTTTTCAGTTGATGTATGTAATCTTTATGTCCCTCATTTCTTTCTTCTTTTTGATGTGAGAGGGGGTGGGGATGGGATAGATGGCATCAGGAATGAACAACTTGGCGGTAACTTTTTTTGTTTGCATGACATAGAACATAGCCACATGTCACAATTATGTAAGATAAGACCAGTACAATTAATAACCAGTAATTTTGGATAGTATTGAAGTATCATTGTTATGTGTGACATCAAGGTTTATGTAACTCAGTGATTTACTGTTATGCAATTTTAGCTGTATAACTCTTTTTTTTTTTTTTTTTTTTTTTTTTTTTTGGGAGCAGTGATTAGAAGAGCTCCTCATGAATTCAAGATAGCATGCTTGGAGGTTTGTTCCTTGACTACTTCTGCATCTATTCGTAGTTGAATCTGATTTTGCTACATAAGCCTCATTCTTCATTGTTCTGTAATCATAATGATATTTGTAACTGCTTTCAAATGTGGATAATGCTATGATTGTATCCTCTGTGCTCTTTTTGGCAACATTTTGACTTTGCATTATCCACATAATTTACTTTGACTTTTTTGATGATTTATACTTGGAGAAAAATGTTGGATTGTATTAGATTTATCTCAGTGTATACTTTCATGATATAAATTTTTTTGTAATTTTTATTTTATTAATAATTAAAGATATTATTGATTGAAATTGTGCATCACAATCATGAAAGTCTAAAGGTTGTCAAAAAGTAAACAGAGGAAGTATAATCCATCCATTTGTGTGTTCCATGTTTATGTTTTAATTTGTACAAAGTAATTCTTATCCTTACATTGGAGTGAAAGCATAGGCTTTTAATATATGTTTGCATAAGTTTCATTCTTTTTCTCTGAAAACTCCTTATTTTGACTTATTTGAACTCTTGTTTACTTTTCTTAAACTTTTTTAATTGTTAATTCAACATGGTAGTTTTAACTGAAGGTACTGGCCCTTATCTGAAATTATTTTTCGTGAAACTTATTTAAGGTGAAAAAACAAGCTATAGTGCATTGGGGGGTTGGGTTATGTCCATTAAGTTGCAAACTTGAGTATAAACACATGGGGCTTTACTAAGGTGTTCTTCTGTTATCATGTAATTATTTTGGTCACCCGTGCAGCACATCTTGGGCTTGGTTGAGGTGGTCTGATATGGTCTCGTTCCCTTAAGGCCTCAACACCTCTAACGGCTCAATATTTTACCCTAGCTTGACACAAAACTAAGATTGTTGTAAGTGCCGTGGGAGAATAAGAGGCCTTCTATTTTGTCTCACTCAGAGATCATATACTTCCTCCGGTCCCCAAATGTTGCAACATGGGGATGGGACACGGGTTTTAAGAAGAGGAGAGAGATAGAGCGTAATAAAGGTTGAGACCCATGTGATGAGGAAAGAGAAAGAGAAAACACTTACAAATAGAGAATTAGAGAAATGTTGCAATATTTGTGAAACTTCCTAAAATGGTAATTGTTGCAACATTTGTGGAACGGAGGAAGTATGTCTTAGTAGAAATAATGGCAGGAAGTTTTCTGATTCATCATTGGCTATTCATTTGGTTTTGTTAAATTGGAATGGAACATCTTAGTGATACATAAAGCGTGATAGGATAATTGTAATTTTTCCCACTGATATTTTTAGGGGCGTCTAGACTTATAAATTAATCTGTTTCTGTTTCATCTATGAAATTTCTGTTTATTGAAAAAAAAAGGAAATAAGCCACTAAGACTCAAACTGGATGTTTTGCGTAAGACCTCATGGGACTAACAGCGTTCAGCTTGTGTTTCTGTTCCTTGCTCATGTCTTGCTGCTGATTGAGTGATTTAAATGTTCACTGATTAAATAGAACTGTGAGACTGAGTCTACTTCTTTGCTGATTACTAAATTTCCTCTTCTTTCCTGTCTGGTGCTTAGCCCATGCATCAGGGAAGAGTTGAATTAGGAAGACTGGAGCATGGTTGGAATATTTTGCATAAATCTTGTTGCTAGTTAGGATTTTTGGGCAGAATAGAATTTATGCGGATGATCCCATTATTTTGCGATATGTAATACCATTGTGCAACTTTTATCTGTGTCTGTCATCGAACAAAAAATCTAGCCTAACAATACTTCATCCTCTGTCCTTGCTATCAAGAATATTTTTCATGCCCTTGTATCAAATTTGTTGATGTGATTGGTCTCAGTTCCATACAAATGAATAATCCTGGTGCATCTCTAAACAATGAGCACTCTATTTCTTCTGTATTGTTTATTATATCAGGTCGAAATAAGAGTATAGCAGGGAGAGATTCCATCCAAGTCTCTTTGCTGAGAAGATTGAAAATTAAGGGCTATCTGGCTGGTAAATCGGGATTCAGCTTCCCTCCTTTCCATTTCAAGGAAACCATAACATCCTTAACTTTAATCTGATAAGAAAAGTATTGAGGGAGGGGTACTTCTGTTCTATGTTTTTAACTCTGCAATACCAATCTGGTTAAGAATTTGCTTTGAAGGCTTTTCTTTTTTGGCATTGTATTCTGTTTCTATTGCATATGTGGACAAAGTTATACTTGTATTGAAATTTATGATGTGTAACTAATCATCGATGGGGAAATGTTGCTCATGGATTTTGCTATGGTGTTATCTAGGATGTTAAGGTGCTGTTTCCATTAGATCACAATCCATTCTACGCCGGGTTTGGAAATAGAGACACTGATGAGTTAAGCTATCTTAGAGTTGGAATGCCTAGAGGGAAGATCTTTACCATTAATCCCAAGGTAGACTTTACTCTTGCATTAATACCAAAAAAGAAAAAAAAATTAAAACGGGACAATAGTATCTAATAACATAATATTTGTTTTATTCAGGGTCAGGTTGTTGTGAACCGTCGAGTGGACTCAAAATCATATACTTCCCTCCATGTTCTTGTACATGACATGTTTCCTCCAACAACTTTTCATGAACAGGTTATTTATTTATTTAATATGATAATTGTTGGTAGATGGTTCAATAGTTTGTTCATACTCTTCATAGTTGTCTTTTCAGTCCATTTACTTGTATATTTTTAATTTAATCTGACATTATTAATTGCTGAAAGTGTTAATGTCATAAGTGATTACTATGTCTATAGGGGTGGCGATGGCGATTGTTGGAGTTTTAGGATTTGAGAGAGGTGGTGGTTTGGGGTTTAGGGGTGCTACTTGGGATATATCCGGCTGTTTAGAGGAGGGGGGGGGGGGAGGAGAGAGGGGAAGTAATGTGGTGATGAGGAATTGAAGATATGTGTTTTATTATTATTTGAGTGGTGAGGCATTGCATTAAGATTAGTTGGTTATTTGAGAATGGAACCGTAATGTCCCATGAAAAACTTATCAATAATGGTTTGGTTGCAAGGAAGGAAAGTGCTTAAAGTATGTTTTATTTTTAGAAAAAATATTAAAAAGGAAACACAGAAATCATTATAATTTTTCGCTCTATTTTTTACTCTTAGGAATTTGTCCATGATGTGTTTTGCATTAAAATTTCATTTTAAATTGCTGTGAGGATGCAATTGCTGTGAGGATGCATTAATATTTCATTGTTTGATTAAGCACGCCTCCTAAAGAATCCTTAGATTTGACATTGGCTAACTAGGTTTATTTTTGAGCGGACATATTTCTAGTAAGATGTCATAAACCACTGTTTTACAAGTCAGTTTAAAGAATGACCGGCCATATCATGTAATAATATATTGACTGTTGAAAAGTTACAGCAAGGATGAATATGAGAATTCTAAGAAGTTTTAGGCTGGGAATGTGCTTTGATGTGGATTTTTGAATTGGTTTTCAATGTCTGAAATATCTCTATTTCCAGGAGGATTACAACTCGTGGAACTTCTGGAAACTACCACCTCGAGATGCCATTTGAAAGATCTGCATACTATGAATTGACAGTTAGTCTGGCTATAAATTAGGAAGGAATAAACGTGCATGTTACTCCAACAGGTAAGGTGGGCTATTCTTCTTTCGTCCTCTATTAATCGTCTTACATTGGCGGTTCTATTAGTAGGAGAAAAAAATGGTTTAAATAATGAAATTACATGCATATATATATATACCCAAGTAAATTCTCGTGCTAAAGATTATTACCATGCAGCTTTGACCCCTAGTATGTGTGTATTTGCCATGGATATTGGCAAGGAAATGCAATATTACATGCAGATTCATTAATATTACCAAGATATAGAGCTATCTAAGGGCTATCGAATGAAATTACTATGTTGGCACCTACTTATTTTGACTTTTAACCATCACTTCTTATATTAGTGGCATTTTTAAATGCTATCCTTAATTGATAAAATTATTTAGTGTATCAAACAATGCTAGGAACATGAGATTTTGATTTCCTTAGCATATAGATGGTAGATTAAAGAAATGTGGATATGCGGTCTTGTATTCTACGTACTGATTCAAAATCACTTACTGGAAATCAAGTTTCTGCAGGTTCTGAAACGACAACTTTGGATCTTCTGCATTTTTATCCACGCAGGAGTTGGCTCGTGCACTTTCAGTTAATTTTGTACGAGAGGAGAACTGCCAAAGAATGTGTATAATAGTTTTTTCTTCTCTTGTTTGGTCAATGTCTTAGTTTTGACTGTTGTACAGAATTTAGAGTTATCACAAATCGTTACTGGATGAAGAAGCAATCAATCGAGTCTACGACTTCTTTTGTTGCTGTCATCATTTATATGTTACGCAAGCAACAAACACGATAGGTAGCATACTGACATATATATATAGGATTATAGGGAAACACGGTTTTGAACTGAAGGGGAAAGAAAGTGATGTAAATTTGTATGGATGTATGAGCTTCTAAAACTAGTTATATGAGAATCTTTGTTCTTACAAGTTATATGAGTGTACGGGATGCTATGCCGCAAAGGGTGATTTGTAAGTCAAAAGACATAAATCCTGATTTATTTAAAGTAGGTGGTTTAAAACCTTACTTTTAATTACAATAACTCTCTTTTCTTGCATTTGCTTTGAAAACTTTGAGTTACTCTTCATATGAAAAAAAAGAGTATAACAATTTTCTAATAAAATAGGTGTTTGGGTGCTAAAATGGTCATATCCATTTTATCTAAGGTAAACTTAACTATATAAGCCCAAATGGCATAAAAAGGTAAAAAAGGCCCAAAATAACCCACTCATGTACTACTATAAATACCTCTCAAGGGGCCAAAGGTAAGGAGAGGTTACTCTTACACTAAGATGACCATCCTCCTCTACTCTCCCTCCCCAGAATACTCTCAAAATATGCATTGTTTGGCATCTAACTTGGGCGTCGGAGGCTCCGGCCCGGGGGCTCAGGGTTCATTTTGCAGGTCCATTTAAGGCCCAAATCTGAGGTCCACGAGCAGCCCTTCAAGGCCTGGTTAGTCAATTTTTTGCCGAAACAATTTGGCGCCGTCTGTTGAAAGACGAATGCTATGGCCCATGGAAATCCACTAGTTCATGGCCGGGGTGTTCTTCCGAATAAAAGAGCTGAAAATTTGGTTAAATCTAACTAAAGTATTGTCACCAACTTACCACAGTCTAGCTGCAGCACATTAAGTGCTCAAAACTGGCAAAGGGCAGTGACTGAGTGGTCACAACTCTTCTCTTTATTCCACTTTTGTCTTCAAGCATGCAACCATTGAGGAGGCAAAATTTAGAGAATGCATGTAAAAGAAGCAAAGATAATGAAAAGCAAAAAAAAAAAAAAAAAAAAAAAAAGAAAAAAGTTCATTATTCTTAAGTGGTTGGGCCCCCTTTTTACCCACCATTTTCCAACAAAAGATGAAGAAGAATGAGCTATTACAGAAGCTCGAAGCATCAAGAACAATTTCCACATAGTACATACATTACGCATGTACTCTTATGTAAGAATGGCAGGCTAAAGCCCACTAAGCTAACATGGCCGGCATCGAGGTAAGCCGAAGCTAACCATTACCCAGCCGAAGCTAGTGGTAAAAAGGCTAAATTCGAAGGTGATAAGCCGAGCCAAAGCTCACCGATCTAAAGGCAGCTAATTCAGGCTCCGAGACTTATCGATCCGAGCCAAGGTTGGTTTAGCTGAAGCTCATCAAGCCGGAGCTACCAAAGCACCATTTTCCGAGGCTACATCCGAAGGTAGTCCATGTGAGGGCTCTAAATCCCTAACCTGAAGCTATCCAAGCCCGAGCCAAAAGTTCATCATCTAGCCGAAAGGCTAACCACATTGTTTGAGAGCCAAAGCGCATCCCTTTGCAAGCTTTGTCGAGGTTCAAGCTCCCAGCCGAGGTTCACCATTGCCGAGGTTCGAGCTTCCAGCCGAGGCTCACAACCAACCGAGCTGAAGGTGCTGCCGAAGAAGGTTCATCCGAACTGAAGCTCATCCGAGCTGAAGATGGTTCATCCGAACTGAAGCTCACCCGAGCCGAAGATGGTTCATCTGAACCGAAGCTCATCCAAGCCGAAGAAAGTTCATCCGAACAGAGGCCCATCCGAACAGAGGCTCATCCGAGCAGAAGGTGGTTCATCCAAACCGAGGCTTATCAAATGGTTCATGTCGAGCCAAAGCAAATGATCCAAAGCAGATAACTTTGGTAATTTTGTTTTCAAAATTTTTTATACAGTAAAAAATGTATTTTGGCTTCCTTATCTTCTTCGTAAACTCAAAGATCAAAAAATGTGTGTCCGTCAATCATCCTCACGATGATGATGATAGAGATATCCATCAATCATCCTCATGATGATGATGATGATGATTAAAAAAAAAAAAAAAAAAAAGATCATTATTAGGAGTGGCGAAGAGTACAGTGAGAAAGAAAGATTAGGTTGGCGATATTGTCTAGAGGAGCCATTTATTTGTGTCCATACCAGTTATGGATAATTAACCAAACTAAGCTTAATTACGAATAATTTTTTAAAATAGACTCGTGGACAAACTATTTACCAAAACAAAGTTTACAGGGTAAAACGTTGATGTTTTTTTTTAAAAAATTCAATGTGTAAAACGCTGTCTGGGACCGCCGACCGCCGTTTCCCTCCGACGACCGCCCGCCGACAGCCCCGACGCCTTAGCCTCACTTCTTGTCGAATTTGGTACTTGCCCCCTCTCTCTTTGGTTTTTAAAATCTAGGTTTTTTTTATAATGGTTGATATTTTTTGTGAATTGTGGTTATAATGTTGATAATGTTGAATTGTTAGTGTTGATAATGTTGAATTGTTAGTGTTGATAATTGTTGTTAATGTTGAATTGTTAGTGTTGATAATTGTTGATAATGTTGGTAATTGTTAGTTTTTGAGTAATTGTGATAACCTATATTGTTGTTTAATAATGGTGATTTAGTGCTTCTAATTAAGTTGTAATTTGAAAAGTATGTCTACATTATTGTTTGATTATGGTGATTTAGTGCTTTTAAGTTGTTGTAATTTGAAAAGTATGTCTACATTGTTGTTTAATTATGATGATTTAGGGTTGATTTAGTGTCTTTAGGTAAAATGTGTTTTAGTTGTTATGTAGAATATGGCTGCACAAAATGTAGTTTTGTTATGTCGGTGGGGAGGTGAAATTCTGTTTGATGGACCAAATGTCGAGTATAGTAGAGGAAATATGGAACCACTAACATTTGAACCGGACATGACTTTCAATGATTTGATGAACGAGATTCATAGTAGTATTGGTTCAAACCCAATGAATGTTCAACTAAACATTAAAATGAGGTTTGAGATTGTCAATGGGGTTCAAGTGTTACCTGTTCCTACGAATAAACATTTGAAAGCTTTGAGGAGCGTCGTTGCAATAAATGGTGTTCCCACTGAGATATATGTAGAAATGGTGCCTATATGTACCCAACAAAGTACTCGGCCAGAACAAAGTACTCGGACAGAGTCCTTGCAAATGCCCTCACACGACATTCCATCAAATGAATATGGGATGGGATCTTTGAGTAGAATGTTGCACGACGATCAATATCACATGTCGTTTAGTTCTCATATAGCTTTACCTATACGTGGTCCTTCGACATCAAACAACGTCATGTCTTCATCGATGCAATTGTATAGTTATTCACCTATGCAAGATGATGTACAAGCATAACCGTCTGTCCCTATGCTAAATCATCTTGAAAATATTGTAAATAACGAATTGTCTGTGTATGATGTGTATGCGGAAACAAATGATGAGGCTGAAAGCGGAGAGGAGGACGATGGACTTGAGAACATAGATGTTGAACCTACACACATGGAAGTTGGTGAGGCCATGGTTAGAACTCCCATACCTTGGTTCAGTCAGATAAACAAGAACTAAGAAGTTGATCAGTGTTGGGCTGAATCGGGTAGCCATACATCATTTGTTCCCGGGGGAGAATTTGTGTAATACCCCGTATTTTTTGAAAGGTATTTTCTAAATTAAAGAGTATTTAATCTCGTATTTTTGACGTATTTTCTAACTTAAGAGTATTTCAGTTTTGGAGCCAAAATGATATTTGAATTTTGGCGCCTAAATAATTTATTTTAATTAAATGGATAAACTAAACATTTTATAAATAGTATTTTGATTAAATAAATAATAAACCAAAACTATATTAATTAATAAAATTAGAGGTATTTTCGGATTTAAAAATTTGATTTTTGTAAATAGAATTTTCGGATTTTTCCAATAAAATCCAATTTTACTTAATATCTTGCTAAACTAATTATTTTCATGAAATAAAATTAATTTCCTAAAACTAAATAAATATCATTTTTTAATTTTACAATTAAAAATCTGATTTTTACTCTAAGTAAAGTATCTTCATAAAATAAAATTAATTCCTACACTAATGAAGTATTATTTTCGGATTTTATACACTAAAAATCCGATTTTTCTTAATTATTTGCTAAGTTAATTATTTTTATGAAATAAAATGATTTCCTAAATTAATCTATACAATAAAAATCTGATTTTATTAATTATTATAGACCAAATTTTCGGCTACCCTAATTATTTAGTAAGAAAATCGATTTTATTCTTCCAAATATTTATAAACTTATTGAACCTTTAATTTTAGTCAAATAAATTATTTTACAAAATCCCCAAACTAACATAAGAGGTCCGAAAATATTGAGCAATATTTAGCTCAATATTTTCGGCCACTCATGATTTTTTCTATAAGATTTTTAAATTATTTTTATTAAAAATAAAATCCTTTAAATTCCCTTACTTCTATTCTTAAATCTAAAATTAATTGATTCTATGTCATACTTGCACTCCAAGTTTAAAACCTACCAAATAGAATTTCATGATCAAATAAAATATTATAGCCTTCTATATATTTAAAACCCTAATTTCTATTCTTCAAAACTTCCATAAATTATAAACCCTAAATTACTATAAACTCATCACCTAAACACCTATAAATACCCCCTCATACCTCTCATATTCTTCACACCAAAAACTCAATTCCCTTCTTTTCTTTTACTCTTCTTTTCCCTCAAACTTTTCCTATTTTTCTTTTCCTCTTTTCTAAAAGAAAATCTGCCCGTATATCTTTGAAGCCAATTTTTGGGCACTTCTGGTCAGTTTTTGGATTTTTCTATTTCACAGAAAATTATTTATCTCGAAATATCCTTGAGTTTAGGCTCAAGAATCACCCAATTCGGAGTTATATCAAAGGAGTTATGACCTCTGCAAGTTCTGCCTATCCTTTCCAACGCAAATTCAATTTCCTTTAATCCTATTCCTTTATTTTCTTCATGGTTAGTTTTCTAAAATATAATTACCTATTTCACAGTTATAATTTTATATTAAAGTATTATTTTTAAAAGAGTTTTATAGTCCATGCACATTAGATTTAGGTTTATGTCTAAAGATGTTGTGATAACCGTATGGTTATGTTAATTGCAAGG